AAAAAAAAAAAAAAAAAAGGTCCACATACATTTTATCCGCACGAAATCACTCTATTCGGCCGGGGATGATTAAAAGTTGAGACGGGAGGTGTAGGTGGCTTTTGGGGCCCAATTCCGGGGGATGACATCCCTTGCCGACAGTGTTTTCCCGGTCGACAGTGTCGTGAGCTTCACGGAGAACGGGCCTTGCAGAGGCCCAGCAATAATGCACCAATTGGCGCCCCATATGTGTGTCATCTCTAGCCATGCATTCGAATTAGCCTGTCCAATATTAATTAATTAATTAGAACAAAGATAAAATAAAGGAACGAAAGCAATATTATATTAACTAATTAAGCTACAAAAGAAAGGGCAAACCATTTCTAGGCACTAGGGGTGAGCAAATCCGAGCGGAAACCAAAAAACCCAGGCCAAACAGTGCAATTCGGTGCGGTTCAGTTTTTTTAAAGTAATAAATTTTCGGTTCGGTTTTTTCCAACATTGCGGTGCGGTTATAGTTTTTTCATATGTTCGGTTTGGCGTATTTTTGCTTCGAACCGCACCAAATTGAATAAAATGTATAGAAAAACCGAAAACCAAGCCGAACCGTGCATTGCGTTGCAGTTCGGTTCGGTTATTTTAGTAAAAAAAAAAAAAAATAGTTCGATTTCAATTCGGTTTTTTCTGAGTTGTATTGCAGTTCGGTTTTTGCGGTACGGTGCAGTTTTTCACCGAAAAGCACCTTTTACTCACCCCAAAAGAGGTGACGGTGAAACATTATTTCCACAACGACACATTCTTTTCATGTGAATGTAATATTCGATTAATTCTTTGATTATCTAAAGCAATCCCACATCGAGTTTTGTCTTTTTAACTAGATAGTTGTGAAAGTGAGGACTTTTTTTTTCACACAAAATCCCTCCAAAAGAGGAAAAGAATTAATAAAGCTTCTTTTGACTAAGACCGTAGAGAGTTATTAATCAACTAAAGAATCTTCTTTGGATTTTGATTTACTTACCTCTCTTATTTGCATAGATCCAACATCACCATCTCCTTCCTCAAATTCAATTAAAACCGAGAGCCAATAGTCCGTTGATCCTTCATTCACATGGAAAGCTATGTTTTTCCCGCCATACTTGCACGCTGTCCTGCATTTTTCATAATAATTATAAATATATTTTTATTTTTCGTCAAAATCTCACTCTCGAGATAGACATAGCCACGGGTTGAACCGGCCCGTCCTAGCCGGTTTTTGAACCGGCCCGTAACCCCTTAAGGGCCGGTTACGGGTCGTGTTGTACTCCTTTCTGACCCGTAGCCTGGGTTTTCTGACAAATCACAGTTGTAATTTCATTATTTCTTTTTTTTTATTAACCGGCGGTTCATTGAACCGCAGAGTCGGGCTGGTTCATTGTTAAAGGCCAGTATTTGAGGCCCGTCGACCCGATGGTATTATATTAACTAATTAAGCTACAAAAGAAAGGGCAAACCATTTCTTGATACTAGGGTGAACAAATCCGAGCGGAAACCGAAAAACCCCTTAACCCCTTAAACCCCTTAAGGGTCGTGCTGTACACCTTTCTGACCCGTCGGGCCGGCTTGGTTACAGACCCAATATTTGAAGCCCGCCGACCCGACGGGCCGGGCCGGGCTATGAACCGTCACGGGCTTTGGCCACCTCTATCGCCAGAGTTATAATTATTTATAGAATGTATCTAGTTCACATGTTTTCAAGTAGAATGTTGCATGGATTGTTTAGAAGACCTTTGAGCCTACTTTGGTGAAGTTAGGTGCCACAAAATTTTGACTAAAGAGAGATTCGATCACGTGTTTTCTCATGTGAGATACTTTACTTTGTCTAAAAGAGATGCCATTTCCCGCCAATTCGACATTAAATAAATAAAAATTTTAATAACAGATTTATAAAAAATTAAAATAAAAATAAAAATCTAATGGGCGGACGACCTTTTTTTTTTTTTTTTT